TGGGGTAGTCTTACACCAAAACAAAACAACAGCAATAATGAATTTAATTAAAAATCTAAGAAAATTATGTACATCGAGCCACATTTACACCTGTTATTAACATGAATTTTCATCAATCTGATCACAAGAAATTAAAAAGACAAATGGCTGTTTACACATAGTCACTTTAAACGTGTATGTCACCATGTGTGATTGGATTTCAACCTACTTGAAAGTGTTAGGTTTCTGTCTGTGTTTTGTTCCTTTTTTGTCGGTTCTTATAAGTGTATGGTTTTTCAGCTCATTGTGGTTTTACCAATGTACTTTAAATAAACTGCTCCATTTAAATACAGCTTTTATTTCATCCTCGTTTGCAATCATCATGGCCGAAAGTAGACAAGATCAAACTCATTCAGATCCTGATTACATCTGTATATCATTGTCCCAATATGATTGTATCTAAAAAAATATATAAGTTAATGCCAAGTGTATAGGACCTTGTTTATTTTTTTGAATCAGTGAATATTTACATACATACACATTCAATCACTAGTTTTTGTTGCTGAGAGGTAGACAGTAAAACAACAATATGGTAATCTCTACAATATCCTCGTTTATGTTTAAAAATATAAATAAGTTAAAAGATAGAAAATCATATCATGGTTTTAGCTTTGTTGTGTTCCTAGATCCATTTACCACATCCATGTTTTAGACATTCCAAATATGTATTATCAAGTATTATCAATTGTATAAGTTTTTGTATTTGAGCTAACATATCTGTTAAATACTAACAGTCTGAGTAAGTAACATTAAGCTCTCAAGTGTCTGCTTACTAAAGCAAGATTTATGACATACTCATCATATTTCATTTATTCCCCACCTGCTAAAACAAGGGCTGTCTTAGAAAATGTTAATGTGTTTAAGTATAAACATTGATATATAAACGTGTAAAAATACATGTGGTGTGATTTGACTGTATTGTAAACAGCTCTGCTAAATTACAGAGCTGATTGAAACATATCCCAATGGCTGTGATCGGACGCTTTCTCACTGTGTTTTCAGTCCCTGAGTGGACTGAGCTGCAACCCCCACTACCTGCAGGACATTAGCATCTCTATGGAGAACGGCTTCAAAGGCCAGGCTGTGAAAGTTTACCTTAGACCTAAAAATACATATGCTTAAACAAGTCATCCTATACTTAAAACACTCTGAGGACTCTGCATGTATTTTTTGAGAGATTCAACAAGAGGAACTATTAATATGAGCTTTCGTTTCAGATGTGGTATAAAGGTTTAGTTAAACCAACAAAAATATGAATGCCCATGGTAATCTGCTACATCCCTATAACATCATTTGATTTATAAATGAGCAGATTTTTTATTTATTTATTTTTTTACATTGTGGTAAATTACTTTTTTCTGTCTTTTAAAATCTTTTAAATAGTAAATTAATTGGGGTTATACCAATGTATTGGTGAGTAAACAGTGAACTAGATTAAATATGCATGGAACTCCAAATAAACAACACATGGTCCAGTACTTTCTTAAAGGGATAGTTCACTTTGAAATTAATTTTTGATGTGTTTTATCTTACCTCAAGGGCATTCAAGATGTAGGTGTCTTTGTTTCCACAGTATTTTCAATTTTGACATTTTTCAACAAACCGTTGTTGTCTATCAGTCATACACTGGAGGCTAAGGGGGTCCACCAAAAAGCATGCACAGAGAAGTCCAAATTAAACATGATTTAATGACTCGTAAATGTAAGTACACATTGATGGCCTAAGACACGAAATGAGCGGTTTGTGTGAGAAAACCAACAGTATTTATATCGTTTTACCTCGTGTAATCACAGTGATCTGAATCTGTTGTTCAATGTCCAACTGAACCGAACTGAATCAGTTCAATGTTACGCCGGAAGTGATCGCTTGCGTGTGACGTCACTCAATATTTACACAGAGATTTCGGAAGTTTTACCTTTTACTAAACATATTTAGATATCCCGAAATCGTCTTCCATTGCGGTTTGGACTTCTCTGTGCTGCTCTTTGGTGGACCCCCTTCACCTCCAGTGTATGACTGATCAACCCGATCTCACGACCAAGTCGTACGAATTCGACGAATGATTAAAAAGTGGCTAATTCGTAACAATTCATACGACCTCACACGTACGAATTAATACGATTTTGCTAAATCGTACATATTTTACGAATTGGCCAATTCGTATGAATTCGTACGAATGACCTACCCCTGACCCCGCCCCTAAACCTAACCATCACGTGGGTTTAGACAAATCGTAGGAATTAGTACGAGTGAGGTCGTACGAATTAGACACTTTTTAATCATGCGTCAAATTCGTACGAATTGGTCGTGAGATAGTGTTGGACTGATAGACAAGAACGGTTTGACCAAAAAATGTCAAAATTGAAAATACTGTGGAAACAAAGACACCTACATCTCGGATGCCCTTGAGGTAAGATAAAACATATCAAAAATTAATTTCAAAGTGAACTATTCCTTTAATGTCGGTAATTTAATGCATTCAGTAATCTGAAGTAACCAATGCTATTATAATACATTAATTAAGTGTATTTATCTTATTCATATGAGCTCATAAAAACACAACCGTTTATAAGTTTATAGTAACTCTTAAAAAACACAACCTCATTGAAAATGGGTAGCACTTTATAAGTTTCCATTTATTAATATTGTTTTTTAACCAAATTAATGAAAATGAACCAACCACTTATTTTTTTACTAACATTAAGTTTTACTAACTTTTTTTTGTTATTTAAATAATTTGTTGGTTAGTTAGTAAAGTGAGTAAGGGATGTAGGCTACATCCAGCCGTCTATTATCGCAAAATAAACACTGAGAAGGGTGAATGACCCAGATGTGAAGTAGCCATATAGTAGCAGCTATTCACTAGTGTGAATTGAGTTGTTTTAGTTACAAAAAACAGCAATATCCTTTCATTGACATAGTGCTTAAAACTATTCTTTTGGAATGTGTGGTTAACGATTTACATTCAAGCTAGGTAAATTTGCCTTTACATATGATAATCACAGGTGATTGCAGTTTAGTAACTTCCTGCATGTTTTTATCTCGCTAGACCAGGTGTTAATAGACTACATTAAATGCTTCAATTCACTAGCAGATATACTAGCAGTGAAACAATCAGAGGCAGAATTAAGACAGAAAATCATATTGTTGTTGTAAATAAGCTATTCATCTAAGCTGATTCATTCATCAACTATTTGTAAATAACCTGTTCAGTTGTAACAAGTGTATCGACTGTTTTTGCTTCGGCACTTATTATATTGTCTGCTCTACTCTTCGCAAAAGCTGGAAAAACATTTTGGCCACAACTTAGGGACGTGAAAAGGGCTGTCACTCATTTACTTCACCTTACTTTATAGTTAATTCAACGTTTACATACTGGTGGTTGATGTAAAACGTTAAAAAAGTTAAAGTAAATAGGATTTTTAAAAGTAAAATACTTGTGTTTAGGTTCATTATGTAAAAAACAGGAATTTTACTTTTTAAATGGTTAGTTCTGTGGATATCTTAATAATATGGTATCTGTTTCTCTATGGCATTTTATTTAAAAATCTTTAATCCCAATCAGAGCATTTGAGCAAAGATTGCATTGCGCTCGACCCAATCCAAGCAAACGTTCCACTTGTGTGCCGCTCACACTCACATCTGATCAAATCCCGCTCCTACAGGTTGTTTCTCTGTGCTAGATATATCGTTCTCTTTGTCATAAACTTCTTGATCAAATGTCTTAATTGCAGTTGGCTTATGGATAACAGTTAAGATATTTGTGGATTTAACATCCTTAGCTCTTTAACCTAAAAAATGTATTAATCTTTGTGAGGAGCGCATGTAAGCAACCGGTAATTATGAATATTTTTTAACTGGAAGTTATTACAAGCACTCACTTACGGTTTCTTATTTTGGGACAAAAAAACAACAACACAAAAATAACATAAACATGCACTTCCATTCATCATCTGAGCCACACCAAATAAAAACAAACATACATTAAAAAATACACTGTGGATATTTTGAAAACATCTTAAAAAATTGAATTAGGGACTGACTGGACATGTAAGGGGTGCAATTGTTAGAAATTATTTTTGACAGAATCAAAATGGTTTCAGTAATGGTTTTAGCTTTGTTGTGTTCCTAGATCCATTTACCACATCCATGTTTTAGACATTCCAAATATGTATTATCAAGTATTATCAATTGTATAAGTTTTTGTATTTGAGCTAACATATCTGTTTAATACTAACAGTCTGAGTAAGTAACATTAAGCTCTCAAGTGTCTGCTTACTAAAGCAAGATTTATGACATACTCATCATATTTCATTTATTCCCCACCTGCTAAAACAAGGGCTGTCTTAGAAAATGTTAATGTGTTTAAGTATAAACATTGATATATAAACGTGTAAAAATACATGTGGTGTGATTTGACTGTATTGTAAACAGCTCTGCTAAATTACAGAGCTGATTGAAACATATCCCAATGGCTGTGATCGGACGCTTTCTCACTGTGTTTTCAGTCCCTGAGTGGACTGAGCTGCAACCCCCACTACCTGCAGGACATTAGCATCTCTATGGAGAACGGCTTCAAAGGCCAGGCTGTGAAAGTTTACCTTAGACCTAAAAATACACATGCTTAAACAAGTCATCCTATACTTAAAACACTCTGAGGACTCTGCATGTATTTTTTGAGAGATTCAACAAGAGGAACTATTAATATGAGCTTTCGTTTCAGATGTGGTATAAAGGTTTAGTTAAACCAACAAAAATATGAATGCCCATGGTAATCTGCTACATCCCTATAACATCATTTGATTTATAAATGAGCAGATTTTTTATTTATTTATTTTTTTACATTGTGGTAAATTACTTTTTTCTGTCTTTTAAAATATTTTAAATAGTAAATTAATTGTATATCGCCTACTTTCTTTAAATGCTGCACCATCCCATAGTTTGAAATTATTTTTGAACTTTTCCTTTATTAACTTTATCATGTTTTATCTGCCATTGATATAGGTTTGTGTTCTGTGCTCTATTTAAAATGCATGCAAAATAATACTAATTATGAAAAGTACTTTTTCCTGATCCAGTTGATGTTTACAACTGGATTTAAAACTAATTTACCAACAGATTCTACCCTTATGTTAATCTAGCTATTTGATTTCAATCACAAAACATTTGCATAACAGAACCAATAGTAATGTTGGCTAACTGTGGTTTATCCGATGGCCCAATCACTGCTCCGATAGCAGAACGTATATCTCTCTATTCCAGGTTCCTAATTCACACTTCATGTTTGGCATTTGGAAGAGCACAACTTTAGAAGACTTCAACGAGATTGTTTCCTACATTGGAGAGTTATCTTTCTATTATAGTTTAAAGATTTATCTACCTACAAGATCCCAAGATCCTAAGCGCACTGAGCCATTTCTCATCTCACTTTTTTTCTTTCCGAAGTAAAAGGTAAGTTGTACATTCTAACTTCATTTTATGATGATTTGTAAATGCTAACATTATACAATGTTTTTGCATCCTCTTACAATGTAAATGTGCATGCAGATTGGTATTATTGATATTCAGTTTCTTTTTAAAATGATTTTATAAAAATACTTGATATAAAAAGTATAGTAAAAATGTAGTAAATTATCAGCCACATTGTCATCTTTTCAATAAGTTATTGTCTACACAATTCTAAGGAGTTTTTTTTTAGAGTATTTTCTATTTTTTTTTTTTTTTTTACTTAGCATATGCACTATATCCTGCATAAAATGTTCTTATATTTCACAGGAAAATGAGACCCAAAAGAGTTTCTCCTGAAAAGGAAGCCTTGTACTTCATTGCTTCGGGGAAAGATAAAGACACATTCGAGAAAAAATTAATGTGTGAAGAGAAAGGTAAGTTACGGCATTCAATTCTGCCATCAGTATGACTTTGCAAAACTTAATTAAAAGCTAAGTTTGGTCTCTAAATAATGTCGAATGGTTGGGTTTAAAATGTGTAGCTAAAAACAACAGGCTGTTAAAAAAAACACAAGAGAAACAAAAAAACATGATTGAATCAGTTAAAGGTGGATTTATATCTGTTTTCCTGCCTGTATTTATGCTAGCTGCTGATGTCCAAATTAAACTCCATTGTGTAGATGTGCGAGTGATCTTGATATTATTTGTATGTAACTGCCAGTTAGACTCCGGGGGCCTGTTTAACAATGGAAATTATCAATATTCAGTGTCATGATACATATGAGTTTTGTAGTTTTGCACTTTTAGATGTAGATATCGTATTTGTTTTCCAAGCAGGGCTACCATTTAAAACAGTTTAGACAACCTTAACAACTTTATGAATCTTTTCTCATACTTAATTTACACTTATTTATACCCAATTTATTAGGTTTTGGAGTAATCGCCACAAAACATATTGAGCCAGGAGAATTCCTACTGGAGTATGTTGGAAGACACATGGCTGGATCTGAAGGAGAGACCCTGCTTAAAGACTACTCAGCTGAAGATGCAGTTTTTTTTATATTTCTACTCCTTTCAGGGACAATCTTACTGGTAAGATTAAATTAATGAATGTTCTAATGAAGTATAATTACATCATATTATGGTATGTTTATATACAGTGTTTTTAAAATATTTCACCATACAGTGTTGATGGCAGTAAAGCTACAGAAAATCTCGGACGATACATAAATGATGACCACATCAAGCCAAACAGCAAAATTAAAATAGTAAGTCTGTATTTAATGTTTTCGTATTGTTTGTCTTATTCTTTGTTTTAATTACTCCTTTTATAGAGCCTCATCTTGATTGTAGCATTATTTGACATTACAAACTAGACAGTTGTGGGTCTTTCAAATGTTGTTGTTTTTGTTTTCAAATGTGTGTTTGTGTACTTTTGTGACCAACAGATAATGGATGAAAAGAAAATGCCACATTTGTGTGTATTTGCGTTAACAAAAATCAAGCCAATCATACCAAAGAAAAAATCATACCAAAGCCTATGGACTAGTATGCAGGAGTGATCCAGCTCTCAGATTTCATAAAAAATATCTTAATTTGTGTTCGGAAGATGAATTAATGTCTTACGGGGTTGAACAACATGAGGGTGAGTAAATACTGACAGAATTTTCATTTTTGGGTGAACTAACCCTTTAAATGCTTTGCTTAAGTTGATGAAGACCTCCACTGTGTATTGCTTTATCCTCAGTTGCAGATGTAATTTTTCCTATGAGTTCAATTAATGCCAAAGCAGTTAATCTTTTTTATCTCTAAAGCCATATTGTTTTTCATTAAATAATTTGTGTTTTTCTAAAAAAAAAAATTAATTTTTGAGCAAACAACTTTTCAAGGATTTTAGAAAACCGAGAGAGCAATGACACTGGTCTGTAGTTGTTAAAGTGTAGTTATACATTTCTCCCAGCCCTGCAAATCTGGTCCTCTAGTTATAAAGGAGCCCAAAACCCTTTAAAATCAGCAACAGACCAGTCTGACCAGTTAGACAGTCTATCTCAAACCAATAGACTATCTAGTTTAAGCCCCCCCCCCCTTTCTAATAGATTAATCAGATAGCGCCCCTTTAATCTTTTCTATTTTACCTGTTCATAATCATTTTTGCATGAATTGAAACGCATGATTGTTCATGATTTTCATGCATGATTTAAATTGTATTATATTACATTATTATTATTCATGTATTTAATTTTATTCATGTATTTAAATGTATATATGTAAATGTAATGTGTTTGAAAATACACAATAAACCTTGAGCAGTTAAAGCTTCAATTGTTCTTTTTTCTATTTCCTATAGTGCTACTGTGCAACCTGTAGAATATGTAGAAAATCCATAGAAATATTATTTTAACTGTTAAATAATACTCTATTTCTACGGATTTTCTACATATTCTACAGGTTACACAGTAGCACCAAATAAATACAATAACATTTCATAACTGTATAATACTATACAGTATTATTAAAAATTAACAGTGTAATACTGTACTTTAATATGGTAAGAAATTACAGTAAAATAATGTTATTTGATTTTACAGTATGCTTAACAGTACTGTAGTTAGTGTTAAAGTAATTTTATTGTTGAATGAAATACAGCCAGTACTGGATAATTGTTGCCAGTAAGTTACTGTTAATTTGACAAGACATTTTTTTACAGTGTATTTTATACAGAATATAAAAAAAGGATAAAACATAATGGACAGATGTGTTGGGAAATGGCAGTTGTATTAACAATATGGCATTAAAATATATTTTGAGCCACCAATCCTACTCCTACCCCTAAACCTACCCCTAACAATTCGTTAAAACTACGTAAACTAACGTTACAATTATGAAGAAAAACGTGACTAACAGAAAAGTATAATCACAATAATATATTTATTGCGAAAATGTCAAAACCGCTACCAAAAGCCGTTCACATGAAGATGCTTTGCAGTCGCAGTCCTCTCTGGCAACATTGTAATAGTTTTGTATGAAGTACAGAGCAGAATTTAAATTAATAATCAATGAAAATGTTCATCCGGCTTCAGTTCGCAGCTTCGCACTATTTCAAAAGAACTAAACCAACCGTCACAGTCCTTCATGTCTCAATCTGTGATGAGGCAGGGAAGAGCCAATGACCATTTGATATCTCTGCCGTAAAACACGACGTATCGCTTCTCAAGGGCGCGATTTTTGAATTTGAATTCATCACCAGCGCGGGATTTGACGTGTACGGTTGCTGCTGAGAATGGAGGCGAAGATCAGGACTGGATAAAGGTTGAATTAGGATTTTTTTTCTTGTAAACAACGTAGGCTATGGATTCTAAAGATTTGGATTACATCAAACTAATAAATTGATGTCTTTTGTGAATTTATGTTTTGTTTTATAGGAGAAAACACTTTCTGTGCCTCACGGCAAATAAACTATATTACAAAATGGTTAAACGAGTAAAGTTAAAGAATGTATATTTTAAGGTTTATAGTGTATTGTTTAACACCATGCAGGCGAAACGAGCAAAATGTTAATATTTATGAGTATTATATCAATAAATGAGACTGAAAACGTAATGAATAAGACAGTTGAATGCAATAGAGTCAAAACATAATGCTACGATTTTAATATGCATAAATTGTGATATGTACAAATGTGTACATCGGTGGATTTGTTCAAATGTAAATAAATTACGTTTTTGTGCTGTCAATAACGTAAATATTTTACATTTTAGTTCTGTAAATACGTCAGTATTATACGTTTCTGCGCATATAAAACGTAATTATATTCACGTATGATAGAACTACACTTTACGTACAAATGCATACGTATTCTCATGAGATCACATTGGATTTTAGTCGACTTAAAATATAATGGGTTTAGTTAAATTGTAATGCGTTATTTAGAATTTAGAATAGAATAAAATGTACAAACCCATACACTCCCGAGAAAACATCTATAACCTATTAATATAAATGATTTAAAGTCTTGAACATGCAATACAGATACGGATTTAACTACTGTGATTTAAAAAATATCTTAAAATTAAATAAAAACCACTTTCCTAAAGTACAACACAGCCTTTTCAATGGATGATATACAGTATGCATTCTTTATAACCATGCATACATCCTTCTTTATTCTTTCAAGCAGAAATATTCTTTGTGTAAATTAAATATAAATTAATCCTTATTATACTAAAGCTATTAACAAACTGTGATTGCTTTTCTCTTTTTCTTTGGTTGCTTGATCAATATTAAGGACACAGACCACATTATGTTTGTGTGCCACTTTCACTTTAAGACGTCGGATTATTTCCAATGACATGCGGATCCAATTGCACTGATGCACATCCGATACACTCACAACTGTTTAAGACATAACGACATAATTTACATGAATACTGTCCAAAGCGGACATTTAAAGCACTCAATAACCTTGGCCCCTTCATATTTATTGGACCTTCTTAATATCTATATTCGATCTCGGACTTTAAGATCGTCTTCCTCGCTCACTCTTGTTCTCCCTAGAACCCGCACTACTTCTATGGGTCCCGGCTTTTAGTTTTGCAGCTCCTTATTTATGGAACCTGCTGCACAGGCATGTGCGAAACAGTGAAAGTATTCTGTTTTTAAATCTTGCCTTAAGACCCATCTTTTCCGGCGGCTTTTATGTTTTATGTATATATATATATATATATATGTGTGTGTGTGTTAGGGCTGGGCAAAAAAAATTGATTTTTCGATTAATCGTTTTTAAAATGTGGCCGATTCCAAATCGATTCTCAACGGCCTCGAATCGATTTTTTCCATATAAAAGGGCTCGCGGACGCGGTGCGGCGTCTTCTCGTCTCACTGCACTAGGCAAGCACTAAGCTAGGGTTAAACGATTCCTCGAGTTACTCGAGTTACTCGATTACAAAAATTCCTTGAGGCCAAAAAATCTGCCTCGAAGCCTCGTTAAATGACGCAGTTCCTATGGCGCACGCAGGGATCTGATTGTTTCACACGGACGACGTTATTCAGGAAGCACACCACAGCGCATGATACATATGACTTCATAAATTGCAGAGAATGTCTAAAGTTTGGGATCATTATATGTTTATAAAGGGAGAGAACAAGATGCAATGTGTCTGCAAAG